TAACATTTTATCAGCTTCAACAATGGAACACCTTTTTTTTTTCCCGAATATGTAGGCTTAAACAAAGTTTTTTTTTTAAAGGCTTACAAATTTCTGACCTTCTAGATCTACTCTTTTCTTAGACTTCACAACTCAAATGTGTAGAGAGATTTTTTCTTCAAGTTAAAAGTCAATAAATTATAACTCTAGATATGGCAAGTTGTAATTTTTATCCGATTCTTAATTTCATCAAAATACATTTAAACTTGAATAAGTGTTGCAATTCTCACCATATACTTCAAAAAGTGTTGTAAAATTTACCTGATTTTTATTGGAAGAATTATTGAAAAAAAGTAATCTCATGTGTGTCCAATAAATTACAAATTATATATTTGGTACGAAATTGAACGTTTTATTTATTGGTCAATTTTGTGCCATAATCAAATTTAGTTTTGTGCAAAGCTTTATTTTTATTAAATCAGTGAGCTTTTGAGTTTTCTATATATATATATATATATATATATACACATATATAATTATTACAAACAGTTTAACTAATCAATTTTATAGAATACCTAACAGTTTTTCCTAATAAATTACAGAAAAAAAATACTTTATATCCACATCTGATATTTATCTCTGAGACTTTTAGCATCCCTAGGCAAAAGTGAGAAACATCCAAATTCAATGCGAATGTGCTGTGATTGAACTTGAACATGAGAGCCATGGAATTGTAGTATGGGCCGAAATGATTCCAAAAGCCACGAGGTTTGAGAGATTGTGATAAGGTAAATATATTTTCTTGATTTTCAACCTATCATTTCATTTACTGCTCTCTGCTCTCTACCTTTTTTGTAAACAATAACAATAGTATTCATTGTAGAGAGTATCTATAAAAGAAAAAGAAAATTAACCGAATCAAGTACGATATCCCTACTGAAGAAAAAGGGTCAAAACCCGACCCGACGAAGATATTCGCAAAGGCAGCAGCTTTGCCCCTTGTCTTGTGACACAAGCTCTGAGATTCACACGTGAATCTGAATCCTCAGCAAGATTGAAGATCCTAAATATGAAGAGATAGATTCACACGAATGAACGAACGAACAAACGCGACTCAGCGAAATTCAAAATCCCGAGAAAAAATCATACAAACAAGTTTATTCGAGCCGAGATTAGTTAATGAATGCTTGCACATGGTGAGGGTGGTGGTGGTGATGGTGATGGTGATGGTGTTTTCCATATAATTATCATCTACAAGAATTTACAGAAGATGACATCCCAAATTAGCATTGGCGTGGTATACCTGCAGGAACACCAAAGAGACACCTCAGATTAATAGCTGTTTACGCTTTGATTTCTCAAGGCAATTTGACATGTTCAAATTTGTCAACTCTTTCTATTTTTCATTCCCAAAGTAAACATTATAGTCCAGACATCATCGACATTTTACATCATGCTCAGACCAACGGAAACTCACCACCAAATAGAAAGCTCTACTCGAATATTACGTTCATTATATAAGTACAGGCCAAGAAACGCACTCTAGTACTAGTATCTAGCTTAGATGGGTGGGTGGTACGTAACTTCCCCCCATCATAACAGTGCATAAACCTGGACAAACTTAAACTAAACTCGAACTATTTAATTCAGTCGTCTTTCTGATGCAAAACACTACGCATGTTATTATTACCATTCAGGGCAGCAAGATAAACACGCTTCTCCGCGAGCCCAATATCTGAAAGCAGCAAATTTCCCTGCAGATAAGAACATTCACCATAACTTCCAGCACATCGCACTCAAACAGGTGAAATATTTTGAAGGAATTTAGTTTAGTTCAAGCTTTGGTAATTTGTGATTGCATATAAAACTATCTTGAAAGACCAATCAACCAGAAAGGTCTCAAAGTTTTCCTTATCGTCCTTATCACCTTTTGAGAGGCATGCTTATAATCTTTGTGGTTGCAATTTTCTTACTCGTAATATCATTCTGATAATAATACACTGAATTCACTCTCCTAAATGAATATAGTACAACGAAGGAGAAAGCATACCTCTTTGGCCATCAACCTTCTGACATTATTAGCATAAAGTTTCGGATCATCCTTTTCTTCTTGTGATGGGATGTAGACAGGCAATCTTATTACCTCCAAGTGATTTACGAATTGACAGAGAAGAAGCAGAAAATGACGGACCTGCCAATAATTCAAATACATCTCAAAATTAACAAAATAAGAAGTTGTAAACACTAATGAGTTGGTCCAGCGGTCCAAGGTACAAGCAACAGACTCTTCCACTATTGTTAAGATTGAGTAATTATCGTGAGGGGTGTTAGTTAACAGATAAGTTAGACCAAACACCCATTTATCCACCCACCACCAAACCAAAAGAAGAGTTGAGTTAAAACATGTTTATTTATCATATAAATGTTCGAATTACCAATTTGAACTTGCAATTTCATTTAAAATTCATTGAAGTACTTAATTTCTTTCAGGCTCTTGAAGTTTATGAATCCATGACAATTTAAGGACGAACTTCCTACACCATCATACCAGACTCTTGTAGTAGCTCACAAGAAACAGTCATCAGAATGTAGGCCATGTGAAAATCACAATAAAAATAATTTACAGACAACATCAAATGGATAACGTATGACTTTCATTTATCCTCTTATAAATATATTAGGAAGAAAACTGGAAAGGGCAAAGTATAGTAAAATAGGAGGCCTCACTCCTGTTATTGATTCCCAGGCCAAGCCAAATCTCTGATATGGATATCTTAAAATAAATGGAAGCACTGGAGCTTTGGACAAAAATGCACCCGTTTTAAATGGCAGGAGAAACTCCCCGTTGGTAGTTGTTCCTTCTGTAGAAGAAATAATAACACATTAAACAACTTGGACAATAAACAAACACAAGCACAAATCCTTGATGAGTCATCAGATAACTTTACCCATGTTCACATTTTTTCTTTGCTACTTAATAAAACATGAAAATTATTATTACCTTGAAAACGTTACTTTCATGATAATTATTACTACTCGGTCCTGACCTTTGACGAAGGAAGCAGCAATTTGGCCGTATTATAAAAATGTACACTCTTTAGGCACTGTTCAATAACCATGATTCAACTTAGTGCATCTTTATCTAACTTGTCATATATCGAAAAGGAAGATATTGGAGAATTCTTTTTATATTTTATCGCTCTTAAATTAAAATATTCTAAACATGTTTTTTTTAATATCCGTGAGTGTTCGGGTCAACTTGCACACACCCCACTAATCTCATAGAACAACAGTCTGACCCTGCTACATTTGGTTGTCAAGAAAAACATAGGAAATTGATTCCTAGGTGGGTAGCCACAAATATTTACGTCATGCTCATTAATTTTACATGTCAAATTTCTAAATGAGACCTACATCCGACTCATTCCAAGAAGTCAGATGCCAAAAGAGTGAGACTTTTGCCCCAGCAATCTTATCCCCTGCTACACAAGATTATAGCCACAGTTTTGCCAGAAAAGCTCAAAAAAGTTCTACCCTCCATTTCTTCTTCCTAGCTTGCTTTGATCCAAGAGAGCCAAATTAATGATGCTTGTTTAGATGCTAAAGAGCTTATTCATTATCATTTTAAGAATAAAAAATAGGGCCTTGTTTTCAGATTGACCTTGAAAAGCTTTTGACAAAATTGATTGAACTTCCTCTTTGCAATTTTGGACGCCAAAATGTTTTGATAAGAAATGGAGGAAATGGATTCTTCGGGGCATCCCTGGTGCAAAGGCAAACAAAGTCAACACATTCTTGCTTCTAAGTTCTAGAGGTATTAGACAAAGTTACTCCCATATCCCCCATTCCCTTTGGTACTTGCTGTGCCTGCTGATCTCTCCAGAGGCATTCAAAAGGCTACATTGAGGGACTTAATCTGGGAAACAATGCTGTTGAAATTTCTCACCTACAATTTGTTGATGATGCCATCTTCTTTTACTCCCTCTCCATTAAACAAGTGCATAACCTCTTGAATATCACCCAAACTTTTTAGGAGGCTGAGGGTCTAAACAGAAACCTCTCTATAACAAAGCACACTGGCATAAATTGTTCGCAAGTTTGATAGGCGAAAGAAAACTTCCTCTTTCTAAGGGAGGTAGCCTCCCAAGCATCCTCCCAAATCTTCAAACCTTACCCTACTACACGTTCCTCCTCAAGATGCCAAGCACTAGTAGAAGGATCCTAAAGAACTATTGAGAAGGAGTCGCAAATAATGGTGGCTTCCAACTTATTCTTTGTTGCAAAGTCAGCCTACCTATCTCTCAAGGGGCCTCAAAATTGGAAATATTTAAAGCAAGAATTTAGCCCTCTTCTCTAAATGACTGTGGAGATTCCCCTGGAGGAAAGCTCTCCTTGGCACAAAAAAATTGCTCTAAAGTAAGCAACTGATCGACATGGTTGGAGAACTTCTTCTCCCCCTACACTTAATATAGGGGCTGGTGGAGCTACTTTGGAAAACTTCAAGGAGGCTTTTCTCCAATTGCCTCCTTTATCCTGTGCAATGACAACAAATTTGAATTCTAGAAAGGTAGTTGGGTGGGCACCACTCTTTCAGCGTCTTTCCAAGACTTTAAAATCTCAATAAACAGCAAGAATCTCACCATCAACTGAATGTGGAACTACCAAATGGACTAAATCTTAGCCTTAGATAGAAGAAATTTTGATGATCTTGAAGTCCAAGAGTGGAACACTCTCAACAACCTTTTGACAGATTTCTCCCTCTCCTCGGGAGATGACTGGTACTGGGCTCCTTCTATAGCAAGTCTCTCTTTTTTTATTTTTTTTATTTCTGAAAAAACTAACCTTTCATTAAGAAGCATGAAAGAAAATACAACGGCATACTTATCTTATATCGGGCCACTTGGTGTATGTAGTTCCTCAGGTATCTACTCTATTAATACTTTCTTGCACTAGTTGACAAACATTTTGCACCTTCCCTAGTGAGGATTCTCCTTTGTTGTTCCATGTCATTTTTTTTTTTTTTTGATAAGAAACTTAGAGAAACTTTCATTAAGTTGTTGTTCCATGTCATTTAAACAATTAAATTGTTTGTCCATCATCAAAATAGATAAGTTGTTGTACTAAATAAAACTAAGAGTTGCATTTTAATGTTTTACATTACAACTGGTTGTTAAATAAAAGATCAATTTATTTGTTAGTTATATAAAGAGGTTAAAATCATTAAAAATATTAAATCTTAGAATGATATATATTATGATTTATGTTCACTAGGGAGTTACGTATCGTAGGGTACAATATAATTACCAAAAAAAAAAATAAAAAAAGTTAACTAGTTAACAGTTATTTGATACTTAAAAAAGACATTATAAATTAAATTGTATGTCAATTCTTAGAAAATTATATTCATTGACTCAAATCCACTAAAATATATTTCATTAAAAAGTAAATAAAATTAAAATTCTCAGCTAATAAACTAGTTTATACAGAAAGACCATACCTTGCTTAAATAACAAAATCAAGAGTTCTCAACTATCAAATTGAGAGAATTATCAATGGAGTATCATCTAAGCATTGTGACTCTCTTAATTTAAGTAGAACGCATAAATCAGGAAGAAACTGAATAACAGAGAACATGGTTAGAACACATGAAGAAACCTGGAAAAAGCATCATCATGGGAGCAGAGCTATTCTTCACAGCTTCTCGAATTCTTTCACTCACAACACCTATAAGCAACAGTGTGATTAATATCTGGAGACCAGATGCACAATTGCAGATAAATATTAGGTAAGAGCATTTCGTGGGACTAATGTCCTCAAGTGAACTCTGATGCAAGGATAATGTAGCATGCAATCAATTAAGCGCCAAAGTAATAGATGGGAATTTGCAGTAAGATTGTGTGAACAATGATGGTTTCATATGTTGTCTTAAAACCTATGAGCAGAAAAGAAAGCTAATGGTATGTGTATTACTAAATAAGTTTCAGAAAGCAACAACAATCAACAGAAATGATGAACAGATGAAAGCATGAAGTACCTGAAACACCCTTGGATTCAGATGTCTTCGACTCCCGTTGAACATAGACACAACCAAGGCACTTGCTGTCACAAACAACAGTAACTAAACTTATGTAAGACCTAAAAAACATTAAACAGGAATCATAAATTTTAAAGATAAGCCTGCGGTAAAAAAATTACATTGATTCAATGAAATAAAGATTTGGAAACCGAGTGTAGGTTTCAAGATGTGTAAAATAAATTAGCTAACCTGATAATACCAACTAGAGGAAGTTTAGCCACTGATCTCTTCAGCCAAAAGAAAAGGGAAACAAATCAAGAATCAGAAAAGCAGACCCAAAGATGAAAAATACCGTAAGGTCATACTGGCGTGCACCATATTAAGTCACACATTTTCTGAATAATTGTGACAAATAGTGTTTGAACAAACCTTAGCAACGAAGCTTGGAAATGAAGAAGACATATGATACAAAATATCCAAATATGATACATGGTTGCTGATAATAGCCCCGGGTCTTTCAGACTCTTGAGACTTCTCTTGACCCTCATCCTAAATATCAAAGAAGAGGCAAAAACAAACAACAGTGAACGCAAGAACAAACTTAAGGATCCAGAGGCTGAGTTACCCATTAACCGAAACATGCAAGAAAGCATAACAGAACAATGACCGAGTACCAACTTGGAAAAGATGACAGAAATTAGAGCACCTCGTTAGTTGACTTGTCCTCGTTGGGAGGGATTCGATAAACTTCCGAAATCCAATAAAACCCTAACACGAACAGCATGGCTCTGGACAGAAATCTTCCAGTCCACACAATCACGGACCTCCTCCATCCCGCCATGTGCGCGTAGTCCTCCTGCTCATCCGTCTCCCTATTGGGATCGTGAAATAGCGTACAGATTCGGCAAATCGCGTAGTAGAGAAACAACACACTCAGCCCAATAACCACTCGTATGGGAACGATGGTCAGGAGCGCCATTCCCAGCAGCAACTTCTCCGTCCAGGGAAGCTCCCCTCGGCCCATGGTGCCGTAAACATCTCGACGCACAAACGGCGGGAACTTGTGGTGAAGATCCTCGGAATCCTGTTCGGCGACGACGCTGGAGTCGGGCTCCAAGAGAGGGCGGTCGTCTTTGGCAGAGGGCTCATCGGAAGAGTTGGATTGGGGCGGGTCGAACCTCAATTGGTGGAGCTCAGACGCCATCTCCGTCCTCCAGAAACGCCAATCGATCACACCTTCAACACTAAGATCGCGTCGCCACGACCACTTTTTTGCCTCATTATTTTTAATGGAAAATCAAAATATATTACATTTAACTTTAAGTGAATAATAAGAAAATAGAAATATATTCGCTTTCTATGTCGATTGAATTTGACTATTTGATATTGATTGAGATGCTTTGCGCATCCGGCTTAATAAAAATATTAATGATATAAATTCATAAATTTATATAGAGTGAAATAATTTTAAATTTTTTTTTTTTTCTAAGATACCAACTACTCCCAAACAAACCACTTTTATCATCCATATTTTGAGATGATGTATTTTTTTTGTTCAAAAATTACAAGATGGGTATTCAATAATTTATCTTTACGATATTAGTAGATATCTTATCCAGCCAATCGGAGTTCACTCAATTGATTCATTGCCGACCAAAAAGTTGCGTTCGAACCCCACCTCTATATATTGTACTAAAATAATAGATATATTATCTACTAAACTATGGTAAAATACGTTGGTTGGATATGCTTATTCACATAATTTTATCATGTATTTGTTGTATTAAACCAAATATACTTTTGTCTAACGTTATAAAGTTAAAAAAAGAAAAAACTAAAGAAATCTTGAAATTTTAAAGTGAAAAGAATCCATCCAAAAACTTGGTTACAAGATTGGTGAAACAGCGAAGAGTTTATGTGGGCAACGCAACGAATGAAGGATGTACAGCGAGGAATCGTGATCTTACTGGAAAAATTAATTTTAAATGGTACGCCAAATATTTGTCAAATCTTGTCGGATGTGCCTACTATTAGAGCTTCAATCTGGTGCGGAAACGTCCACCGTAAGACCGCCAGCCTAACAGTGTCCTAGCCGTTTGATTTGGTATTGACTTACTTTTGACCCTACACTCCACTGCTGAGTCGCTGACCATGCCGTGTTTTTTGGCCGTGCTGAAGTAATAGCGGATTAAAGACATAAATTATCCATCAAGTTTGAATTTTCACCTTATATTTTGTTGAAGAAAATAATATTGAAGGTTAAGTTTGGACTCTGCCCCTTTATTTAGAATCAATAAGAGAAAAAATAATAAAATATTTATTGATAATAGACATTTAATCTTGCATTATCAATAAAAATTTGAAGTAGGATAATGTTAAATAAGTAATTTATGTTAAAATTCTACCAAATCGGATCATTTTAGTTGGGGAAAATTTTCTAGAAAAGCAATATTTGAAATCACCATAAAAAAAAAATATCTCTTTTGATCATTGTAGCTTTAGGATAAGTTTCAAGTAATATTCTTAAACTTCTAAAAGTTTCATTAAAGTGAAAATTCAAAAGTGATATAGTCACTCGTAAAATAGTAGTACACATAACATAGTTGACAAGTTTCAATTGAACCCCTCAACTTTAGGGTGAGTTTTAATTATGTCATTCTCGTTTCAAAAGTTACATCTTAACCTTTAAAATCTTAAAATTGTTTTAAAACAACCTCATTAGCTTCTCTATTAAAATTAAACAAAAATATAATGTGACAATTAGTTGAAAAATAAAGGTTACATATTATTGTATTTTGGTTGTGAGGTAAAGAGTTAAGGGTTTCAATCACATTTGAAATTGTCTCGATTAGAAGGGGAGACATATYTGCGAGGAAGTCACATATGGTGAGAAAATTCATGCATGACTATTAAGCTTCATATCTCACAAGAGGAAAATATATTTATGAGAGAAAAATTATGGAAGAGTGGAGTTGATTGAATGCATGAGTCTATCTAAGCTAGGAGAACAATAAAGAAAAACRCCAACGAACAAAGGAAGGCGATTATACCCTCAAAAGTAAGAAAACTATCAAGAAAGATGGTCTTTAGGTTTAGTTGTCCTGATTTTCTTGGTTTGTCTCTTCCTCTCCTCCATTCATGCCCTAACATTAATTTTCGTCAATTGATTGATCGCGAGCTAGAGACCCGATATATTATATGTCTCTCGTGGTCTACCTATTCTAAAAGTTTTTCCTTTCCTCCCATCTTTTGACCGTGAGAAGAAGAAACAATATTTTACACTAATCTCCAAATCTGCTCTTGCCTCCCAAATTATATAGTGTCATTTCGAATGTGACTAAGACACTTTGATTTTTATTTTTTTTTTTGCAACTCACCATGAAGTCATATTTCCATCCCCATTTTAGGTGAGGAAGCCAATGATATGGTTGTTTTAAAACAACTTAAATGGTTCAAGGTTAAATTAAACTTTTTAAACGATAAGGATATAATTGAAAGGGACATAAATTAAATTTGAAAACAAGTCACTACCATATCACTTTTCCGACTTCATTTTAACGATAGAGTTGACGAAAGGTAATCTTAAAACAAGTTTAAAATTTAAGGGTAAAATGAAACTTTTGAAAGGTAGATAAACTTTTCTCTATGCTAASTGGTGGGTGCAGTCCAAAAAAATGGCCACTCTAACATAGGATTTTGAGAACCACCACATAACGTAGAGAAAGGTTTATCTATATAGAGAAAAATAATATTTGTACCCCTACATATTATGTATAAAAGACAGTATTGCACCCCAGAAGAGAAGGGGAAAGATGGCCTCCAAACTACCATGATCAGAAGGCTTTTCTTTTTTTTTTCTTTAATTATTCAAATTCATGTGATAACACAGACCACCAAATTCATTTGAAATTCGTTGAGATTTGAAATCACTCAAAAGCCTAGACAAACAAAGAGTCAATAAACTTTTAGAGTTGTCTAAAAATCTATGTACTTTAAAAAGTTCCAAATATGTCAACAAACTTCCAAGATTGTATACGAAGCTCCTGTTTTAACTTCATTAGATAAGCGATCATGCTACCAAAGGTTTCGAAATTTATTAGAAGTAGTCAACGCGTATACGTCTCAGATATAACTAATAGTTATTCCTTCCGTTGTACAAGGTTCAAATTTTCTATACCTCCACATTTCCARACTACTTTTAAGCTTTAAGAACCGCATTTAGATAACATATAAAAGCTAAGGTTTGTTCACTTAAAATCATCGTTAGGTTTGTGAATTTAGAAATCTGAACAACTTGTGACAATACAATTTGACTGGGAGAGCTCAAAAGCTTTACAGAATATCCCATGTTTTACAAGAGTTGGAAATGAACAAAAACTGAGGAGCAGGGATTCCCAAGTCCCATTCATGTTCTAAGTTCAGCAAATTTCAGTGAATGAGCACAGAGAAAAGATCAAAGCCAGAATGAAGAAACAGAATTACTAATTTTTTTTATGATATATCTGAGGCAGAGATTTTAGTTGTTACACAGACATCTAATCTGCTGGCTGAGAAAGAAACCTGGATAATTTCTTAAATACTCAAGTATGATTTTACCAAATCAACCCAACCCCAAATATTTTAGTTTGTATGAGTCCATTATCTAAGAATGATTTGGTTCAATAAATTAACAAATCAAGCCATTAAATTAGATTTAACATGAGCCTTCCCCTGGGAGAAAATGGCAACTGCCAAATTAAACTGAAGAGAACAGGAATTTATGGTCAGGGTTCAAATGGTTGTGGAAAGTGGACACCAAGTACAGGTTTAACTGAACTCTGCAAGAATATAATTATGATCTAACATTCAACTTTCTGGTTTCTACAAACCTCAAACTGAAGGTGTAGAACAAAACACTATACTAAGAAAAAATTGACAGATTTCTCCATCTGAAAATGATGGACAGAACAGAAATCATCATAATACATTGACAGATTGAGATTTCATCCTCAAACACAGAGAGCTCTCAGTTCTTTTAGAATAAAATTCTCCCTGCTATGCTTATTATCCTTGACATGTATATGTATAGTTGTGAGCTATATTTATTTCCAAATGAACTGTGTACGTATCCTAAATGGATAGAGATTCTAGCCTTGTTAAATTGAAAGTTATTTCAGCATGATATCCAATTCTTATGAGTGCTAATCAATGCAGAGAGAAGGCCAGCACAAGAAATTAGAAGGGGACCTGAAAGCCGGCCATTCCCATCTCGAATGTCCGCCAGAGCCATGAATCCATCGGCGAAATCTTGAACAATGGAAAGCTCCTTCATCAACTTCTTCTCCCGCAACTTCTTCATCTTCTCTTCCTCTTCCAGATGTCCATTCCCCCTAGTCACTGCGATCTCAATACTCGCTCTCAAACACGCCTCGTCGTCGATTATCCGATTCAAATCCCTAATTTTCAACGAAATACTACCAATATACCCGATAAATTCAGCCCACGCACTGATCTTCTGCAAGCTACTGGAGTAACGTTTGTCAATCAAACCGGATTTAGCCAACCAAACAAACTGTTCGACAAAGTAATAAAACCCCTCTCCGCCATAGGCAACGACGGCGAGGACAATTTCTTGAGTGGATTCGAAATGCGAATTTCTCAGAGCGTTCAAGTCCTGGACGAACTTTCCGAGGCGGAAGGCCTTCCGACTCACGCCGACGGTGGACTCAAAGCTCTTGAGACGGTCCGTCAGAGCGAGGGATTCGGGAACAGCAGAAGAGGAGAGGATGATCTTCGTGGCGTACCGGGAAATCTTCAGAAGCTTGTCAACACCGTCTCTCTTTGCAAGGTAAGCTTCGAGATGATTCAAGAAGTCTCTGTGTTTCTCGGCTGAGGACGCCGGAGGTTTGGAAGCCATGGCGGTTGAGCGGCGGAGAGAATGGGGGCGGGGAAATTTCTCCCACTTGACCGGATACACAGTTATTTCACAAGAGCGTCTTGAGATTGAGAATCAATATCATTCCCGAAACGACGACGTTTTCGTTGGTTTCTGTTATTGGTATAGTTATGAGTGCCTTCAGATTCGCCGAGGGCTAGGAAATCTGTCCTTTTACTTATTCTAAGATTACGGGGAAATGCAAAAACCAAACATTAATTTTGTTTACTTTAAATTATAGCTTTTACATTAAAAATAATAATAATAACCATTAAAACTATACTCTTAAAACTGACGGGTGATTATAATTAAACTCTATCATGTGGCGAACACAAAAAGTTAGAAAATAGCTGATGGTGACATTGAATCCTAATCCTAAATGTAGGTGAGTTATTTGAACGAGCTATGAATTGAAGTAACAAATTCAATTATAATTCTTAAATGATTCGACTAGTGACAATTGATGTTAAAAAACAGTCTATATCAATATAATGCAACCTCACAGTATTGGTTAACAAGTATGGATACGTATTATAAATTCTCATTAGTTTAGAAGGCTAGAAGTTTGAATCTTTTGTCTCTGAAAAACTCAAATCATAGAGATAAACTTAGTATTACTTTAAAATTAGTGGAGCCCAAACTCAGGCCTACTACGATATTGAATGAGGTTCGACCCTCGGGAGCTACATTGAGACTTGAATCCTCGACCCAAAATAACAGCTCAACCTAGCCAAGCCAATCAATTTTGGATCTATTTAATAATAATTAACGTAAGCATGAAATATGTATATGATTTATTTATAAATAAATTACTTATTTAAACTTCAACCCAAAACCTTCCGCCACACCCAACCCTAAGGGCAAGTGAAGTACAATGAATGCTTATTGTTGTTTTTTCCAAAAAAAAAAAAAAAAAAAAAAATCATGAAGGCTTACACAAAGGCAACTATGTCATTTTTTAAGGAGAAAAAAAACGTGCACTTTGTTTTATGGATAAGGAATTCTTCTCCTACATTTTATATAGAGTAGCAAAAACCGTGGAAAATAATATATCAGTGATCTCATATCTAAATATAACTTAGGAGGATATTATCAACTTCAACCTATGTAGTTCAATTGATAAAAGACATATATCATAGGATAAAAAGTTGTAAGTCTCAATTTATACCCAACTTGTTGTTGAACTTAAAAAAAAGTTTACCAAGATATTAATTGTTGGGAATTGTGCAAACTTATTACCTTACTTACACACTGTCAAAGCAACAAAGCCTCGAATTTGATGCTGTTAATCTAATCACTAAGATTAAAAACTTCCAATCACGTTGAATCGTGCTTTTTTTAGATTCCATAAGCAAATAGCATATGAAAAGTGGATAGTTGGCGTCACGATTTATTAAAAAGGAAAAAAAAAAAAACTCGCTCTCACCATATAGTGCCAAATTAATGGTCATTTTGTAGAAATAGAATGCCACGTCATCATTTAGCCAACAACAAACAATTACAATTCAAATTTTAGAGGGTAAATAAAAACTCGTCATATAATATAACCCAAAATATAATCATGTTGAAACTCTTCAGCAAGCTCCCACGTGGGGAACTGTGTGGTGTGCAAGATAGAAATAATAATGTTGAGGAAGACAAACCCATGCTCGGTCAGCTTGAGTTCTGTAGCCAAGAGATGAAAGAACAAAACTTTCTTGTCTTCTATTACATTATCAGATGTATTAATTTAAGGCGTGTGGTTGAACATGGAGCTTGTCGGGCTCTGCCATCAAGCACAACCAACCAGCTCCATGGCCCCCACACCCACCACAGTTCCATCCAATGCCAAAATGCAAGCAAATGAAAGAAAACAAAGCAGATAATTTAATTGCAATAGAGTTTGGATGAGAAAAAAACAGAGCCAATATGTGATCATTTTTTCAGTGTCTTGTAAAGATGGCAAAATATCAACAACAGCCTTTGATCATATGATACATCTATCTACATATAGTAATTGATTTTCTTGAAACATCTCAGAAACTTGGGACTTTCTAGAATCATGTCTTGTAATAAACAACAAACTAGGAAAATCATTGCCTCAAATGAAGTGAATGAAGCTCCCTCCCCCCCACCACAAAGACACTGTATAAAGTTTTAACTTAATAGTATTGAATGGAATGAGGCATGATATTCCCAGATAGACCATGAATCAAAAGAGGATTTCTTACTGCTGTTATGTTTGTAGATAGTTTCTTCTTTCGGTTGACTATATTTTTAGATTCGGGTCTTACCGCTACCGAGTGTGAGTTCTAAATCCTCCAATCCAACTTCATGTATCTTCTCCCCTTCCCAGGGCTTAACCTTGCAGCCCAAGAACTCGAATTCATTTCCTCTCCCGCTTTCTTTGATGAAATCACTGTGCAGAACATGCTGATTGGCAGGTTTCACAAGGTTGAACGTGGGGGACGTTGGCACTGTCGATGCAGAAGGCGCATAGGCGCGAAGAAGTGCCCATGGACTGGAATCATTGGTGGATGATTCAGACTCATCGCATTCGTGGATTGTGGCAGGAGTATGGAGCTGAGGGCGAGTCGGGCTAGCTGGAGCAGATACAGCAAAGAAAGGATAATTTAAGGACAAGGATTCTTTAGCAGTGACCTCCCAGTTGGGGAATGGCTGGGGAGTCCTTGAGGCTGGGGATGAAAGGGGAGGGGTCACAGGAGCACTGTTTGAGATTCTAAGAGGAGGAAGAGATATGGGAATCGCTTGGCGAAGATACGGAATGAGGTTCGATGGATTGTTGGCATCGAAACGGGACGGGCTTGGAAAAGAGGAGGAGGAGGGGCTGACTTGGTAGGATGGGATTGGGCTAGGGAATGAAGACGACAATGGGCTTGGATTCTGGGAAGAGTAGGGGGTAATTTTGGCGGAAGTCCCAACAATATCGAGCGGGGGTGGCTTGCATCCCTGTAATGAAACACAAAACCATATATCATATCATTCTAGTGACAACCAAACCAGAATTGATCAGAATACACCACGCCGCTAAGCTCAAATGAATTCACAGATTTAAACCTAAACCTCACACTTCTCACTAAAATCAAGTTAATTACACAAACAGAATCCAAATTGCGGATTCATGATGCACAGAAAGCAATTAAAATGAACAGAGCAAGATTCCAGATCGATTCCAATGAAACCGCAAGAGGATAGATCAAATTAGAAAACAATAGAGACAAGAGGAAGTGCATAAATAGCCGCATTTCAGATCTACGAGAGCATTCCAAATCGAACATTCCGATAACCGATAAAAACGAAAGGGAGGAAGGAAAAGCGAAAAGTCACCTTCCGATAAGTGGTTCCGTCTTCTTCGACGGTCCAACCAGCTTCAGCACAGAGAGCTTTAAGGACCTCGTTATTGTCACAATGTTTAGGCAAATTGAAGTTGCCCTGAGCCCTAAGTCCGGAGTAAATTTTAGCGGCGATGGCTCTCCTCCGGCGCTCTCTGGTGCGGTTATTCTCCCGCTCCCTCCAGGAGGGCTTCCGCCTGCAAGTGGAGGCAGAAGTGGCGCCATCGGAGGTCATTTTTCCGGCGATCCGCAGCGAGAATGGCGTGAGGAGGCGAAGAATCACGGGAAATGCGCAGCGAAAACGGCAGTGGAGTTGGATTTATGGAGAAGAAGCGGTGATGGAGGGTGGGGTATAAAAGTACACGGAACGGAAGAAATGGAAAATTTTACAGTGGAAGAGAAAGAAGAAGTAGAAGACTTGGGTTTGTTTGATTGTCTCGTCGTTTGACTTTGGGACCCGCACGATTAAAATGGTAGGCCCCGAGATCGGACGGTGATTATTCGTGCACGTTAGTCCACCACAAACACGCGTGATTGGGGGTTATTGGGGGTTTTTTTCTTTAATTGTATATATTATATTTTTTTAATGTAAACGATCTTTATGACCAAATAATTACGACCGGGTGGGGCCCTAACTGACATGACACCCTTCGAATCTCATGAACCTGTCCACTGTGAAACGCAATTTTATATTAATTCAATCAAAACAAAACTAACCTTGCTGCATTTATTATGCCATATAAAGTGAAAAAAAAAACGGAGATATGCTTATAAGGGTATTTTTTTAATTTAAACTAACTTAATCCTTAAATTTTAAAGAATTTTCAATCACTTTAATACAACAAATGTAGAAATGGTAGATTGAACCTCAACCTCCACGAAAGAAATAAAAAAAATAAAATATATAAACCGCTAAACTAAGCTCATATTACCTAAATAATTTGAATAGAACATCCCTATTATAATATTTTCCTATTTAATCTCTCATTATTGATTAATATTAAAATCACGTAACTATTACTTAATGAATAAAAAGTCATTATGATTGAGGAAACTTTCTAGTTCCTCCTCTACATTTTTAAAAAATTGTTAATATTTCAAATTCTCTTCTCTGGGATAACATTTTATTCTATTCTAAATTTATGTCATTTCACTTAATATTATGTCGTGCCATGTAAATTTATCCCACATTCATCAGTAATGGGAGATATAAATAAAATGAATAATTGTTAGAACATAAAAGACTAAATAAAATTTGAGGATAAAGAACACACATATTCAACATTCAAAAGATTTAACCTTTTTAGTATTATAATTCAGAAGAGACGATTTAAAACCTCTTTAGTTAGCTTATTAAAAATTAACTAAAAGATGGGTGCGACGTATATAAACAAACTCACCACTCTTCCTTTCCCCCCAACTTTGCGCACTTGATTAATGATATAAAATACTTTATCGTTCCATAATTTACTGTATTATTTTTATTATTATTATTATTTTTTTTTTAAACAAACTACTACTGCTTCTGTAATCATCGTATTAAATCATGTTATTTTCATAATCAAAATTATTATGTTACAATAATTTTGTCCCCCCATGAATAAAAACCTCAAGTTCTCTTATTATCCACAACAGAAGCAGAGAGAAGCAAAATATCAAAGATAAAATATTACCGGGGAAATTTTAAATTTCAAATTTTTTTATCTTTTTCCAAAAAACATATACATGTAACAAGAAAGAAAAAAAAAAGTAGTGGGAGTAAAAATATTATTCTAAAATAGAACCCATAACATGAAAGATAGAGCAGCATCCTGTGGTGAGGAGTAAATGGAAATAAGAGAGGGAGAATTAAGTGTTAATTTGTAGAGCCCATGTGCAAGCAAATTGGAGCTACATAAAATAGAAAGACGTGAAAGGGGAAAAAGTGTGTAGAAACTTACGTGAAATGCGGTTATCCACAAGTTAAATGAGGCACGAGACTGGGTCCCTCTGTTACATTCATGCTTAATCTGTTCTATTCTAATACACGCTACGCAGAAGACCAACGCATGTGGCCGCCCGATATGACTTTCGAAAGTGACACACCACTTGAATTCCACGCCACAAGCCTCCCAAACCCCACCCCCTTCATCAACATAGATGCATGAATCTCCATATCATGCAACTAAAGAATTCAGTTCTATGGGGGGAGAGTTGCAGTTGCAGAGCTTACACAGAAACTATTGCAATTGCATGGCTATATCCTTGTGAAGTGTTTGGATTCCTGGAAGTGAAGGGGCTCGTTCCCCCAAGAAAGCCATCCGGGATTCATCTCTCGAGCGAACAGTTCGATGCACCGGCCTGGCTTCGGCCCCGGAACATACTTCTGGAGAAGCTCTGGGTACAAAGCGGGACGGTAGAACAGATAAAGGTGAATTTCATTCCACGTGAGAACAAAGAAAGCAGTGTTGATAGTGATACCTCCAATTGGTGGCTTCCTTGAGTAATCACCAGTAATGCTAATGATGACTTGATCTTTAGGTACACTTTGCTCCAAAACTTTCAGGTCTTCCACATCCTTAACTCACAAGAAATTTAAAGCAATCAACATTAAATGGCACTAACCACTGGGAAAAACTTACCTGCTTTCCACCCATAAAAGATAAAACTGGTAACACCGTAATTTAAGTTCGAAATATACAGGTAACCTATAAATTTAGTTCAAATACTTTGACCAAATGTATCTATTCAGTCCCTAAATCTTAAAAACTTTAATTACGCCATTAAACTTTGGATTATAGTTTTTATGTAGTCACTAATTTTCATTGGCATAGTTGAAACTCTCAAATATTAATGAATAAAAAGACACGATGATCATAAATTTATAATCTAACCAAAATATATACAAATTATTTTTTGTTCTCTTAGAGGGCACAACACAGAAAGATGCTTCCAGTAGGTAGGTAAGTTTTTCCCTTAATCAAATTAAGATTTTTTTTCATCAGCCAATGTCTCGATACCTCACCGTAACAATAGCCCAAGAGAAGGCATTCATACGGCCTGTGATGGAAGAGATCTAGATCACCAATCAATGAACCATCTCCTTTGACCTGTAATTTCAAAAGATATAAAGAAGGCCAGAAGAACAAGGAGAGAGAGGCAGAGAAGAGAAAGATAGACCTTCAACCAGTAATAAGTGGAAATATGTTTGACTCCCCATGCAGGGAACAGTTCCACATCAATAAAACGATGGAACTTTTCTCTGTTAGTCACCCATAAGGCGACCAGTGCTCCTTTTCTATGAGAAAGTTTCTTGATAGGCAGAGCTAAGAAGTACCGATTGGGCAATGTAGGATACCTATGTTGATGAAATGGGAAAGCGTTAATTTCTGAAAAGTACTGACAGATTAAACAATAGCGGCAAGAAGGTATAGCACAACCATCTAAGGATGAATGATTGCAATGAGATTCTAATAACAAGCATATAGAAAAAAGACCGTAAACTGAATGCTCCAATCAAAATTTTCCGAACCATTGACACTATCCCAATAGGTTCGCTCAAATGCTAACTTGAGCCCATGGACAAGAACACCCAGCAAACATAATCAGTTGCAAGATACTTCAACATCACTGAAAATGGCACTAGAAGTATAATCAATTTGCTAATCCCAATCTATGAACTATAATCAATTTCTTTAAACTCAACATAGGTAAATTAAATCAAATATTTCAAAATCTTAAAATTCATTTACTCAATCTATGTTTATTATTGGCTAAAGTGCTACTAAATTTATATACTTCCACAAATCCCCCATTGTTCTAAGACAACATAAGTAGATGTTCTTAT